TCATGTTTCTATTTGGTTGTTTGCTTGTTATGTGCTGAGTTTTGTCTATGTTTATAGTGTAAAAATTTTGCTAATATAAAGATCTCTTTAGTTGCTTTTCAGTGCTATAATTTGGGCATGGCTAACTGTAGTTCTTTGCCTTAGACCCAAGATCCGACCACATTTTTTAATTTGGGAGGGGAGGATGCAGTGTAATTAGCCAGACAATCAAGTTCTCTTGAATGTAGTCTAGTATTATTAATGTCACAAATGTAATCTGAGTGTTGGCTTACAGAGAAACAGCAACAACTGCAGTGAAATCTCTGTTGTTAAACCGAATGCATTCCAAATTTGTATTTGAACACTGAAAAGTTCGATAACTGAAGATTTTTTCCTATAAGAAATAATGGAAAACCAAATAATTGGTTCTGGGGCCCAAAAATTACACTTATAAATTCATTTTGTCTAGAACTTTAACAAATTTGGCACTGATTTCTTTCTTTAACTTTATCATGATTCTCACAGTTTTCCTCTTAGGTTTACTGCTAGTATCACTAAGTATCTTTAGAGCCATGGTTATGATATTTTACACAAATTAAGTGTGAAGAAAAGAACAATGATGAATATTTTAATGCACTAACAAGCATCATATATTGTCTGGGTGAGAGACGCACTCAGGCTGAAGCACTGCCCCTTTGTTTCCACGGTGAGACAAGGCATGTGACTCTTGGCCCATATAGGCCTTTTTGGTTTGACTATCAAGCAAAGTTATGAACACTGAGCAGACTTTTTTTTTCAAATTTTGCTGTTCGAGTAGTGAGCGGATTGCACTTGCAGCCATTGACAACTGAGGTAAAACTGTATGTGACTCTGGTAATATCAAGCAAATAAGCTACAGCAGTATTATCCAAGTCAAATTGGATATTAACATACCATAAGAGCCAACTATATGCAACCCTTAACCCTAGAGAAGAAATCCACAATTGTGGTGTAAACATTAAGATAATATAAGCATTGACTTAAACCTAATATGTACGGAATGCAATGGCTATATCTCTGCTAATGGTAGAAAAAGATTCAAAAGTAGTTCTACAGTTAACTGAAAATATTAATAAAGCTTCATGGTTGTATTATTAAATATGTAGTGTTTTGGAAGGGGGAATGCAAGAGGAAAAAATTAAAACTTTATATGAGGAGGATACAGTAGTGGTAAAAAGGATCTTATTGGGGAATAGAAGAATCTTTATAGAAATAGGTAAAGAAAAGAAAAAAATCTGACAAGAAATACAAAATAAAAGAAAAAGAAGGTAATAAAAAATTATATTGGGAGTAAATATAAGAAAAAAATAGAGGGAGAAAAATTAAAAGGCGGAAGAGGTAAAAATATAAAAAGAAGATAAAGAGATTAAAAAGCACAAATGAATATTCTGCAATCCCCAATAAACTGGTAAGGAAAGGAGAAAAAGAAATAAAAAAGAAGAAACAAAAACAAAAACAAAACAAATAAAACTAAAAACAGCACACACACTAACAAAAAAAAAAGCAAAGAAACATATCACCCCCCAAAACAAAAACAAAGAAAGAAAAATAAAAACAAAACAAAATTTCTCTGTGATTCCCAATGTGTGCTTTTCTTCTGGGATCTATAATTTTGAAGCAATGTCCAAGTCAAGATGTGTCCCTACTTGTGCTGGTAAAGAAAGCAATCAGACTGCAGACCCAGGGTGGATGCAGACACTAGCATGCAGTAGGACTGGGGTAAGGGTGCTAATACCATGACTTTCAAACCCAGAGCAATTCAGGCTAAGTATGGCCTCTTCTAATGGGGGCAGGGCCTGGGATCCTTTAGCTCAACCCCTCAGAAGTTCCCTTTCCAGCCCGACCTCAGCTCCATGAGCACAACTGTCTACAGTGGCTGTCTCTTCACCAGTTTCCTTGGAACGTAACACTGGGGGCCCTGAAGTGAAGCCATTCCACCTCTGCTCTGTGTCCCAAGTTCAAATAACCAACCCTTTCCTGAAAAGGTGTCCAACCAAGCACTCTCTCCAGGGATATAGCAAGTGCTTGGACTGGAGACACTGACTAGATGTTGTCTGTTGGACTCACATGTGAGCAGAAACCCGCACTGTACCCTGCAGCTCACAGCACTTGCCTGTCCACTGTCCATTCCACTACCACTTCTCCCTGAAGCCCCCTGGGGTTCTCAGCTTTCATTGTGTCAGTGTAGATTTGGTCTCCCTTTCCCATGAGCCTTGAACTTGGAGCCAGGGAGAAAGTGTAGATTGTCTTTTCCATTCTCCACGCTGTGACCTGTCTCTTCAATTTCTCTGTAAGTTTTAATTTTCCTATTAGCTAATTTCTGGTTCCTGGGGATGTACTTCTCTTTCTTTTCTTCCCCAAGCTGCTATTTTCCAGTGTCTCGATTCCAATCTCAGAGAGGCTCAGTTGTTGTTGTTTACTCCTCTCCTCCTTTCCCAGAAGTCTATTCTTATCATCTTTATTGTCTGGTTCCCTCATATTCTAAGTTCCATGGGCAAGACTCATGTTTTGATTCCTCATATAACCTCCAGCGCTTAGAATAGTGTCTGTTACATGATAGAAATTTAATATATGTTTATAGAATGAGTAAATGAATGCTTCGATTTTTACTCAGAATGTCAAATAGCTATTTGAGAACAGTGTTAAAGAGATTAGAAGTGCCAAAGAGAAAACTTGTTTTCAATGATTCATGATCATCTTTGACTTTGACCTGTGCTAAATTAAATATTAGCACATTTTTATTATCCAGCTCCAATTTAAATTTTATTGTTTTATCAAAGTACTTTGTCAAAGCACCTGCACTTATAGGCATATTATAATTTCCAAAACTATACTGTCTCCTTAGTTATTTTATTTTTTTGTTCTTAGTTATTTTATATTGATAACTTCATTTTTAGGAAGAATCTATGGCCAACCTGACAATATTACCATATCCACTCTCCTTATCAGCAGTTAAAAGCTCCTACTTCAATGCAGAATATTTCTTTGAATGGCCCCTAAAAAATCTTATCTATGCATGGTGATTCCTGCTATCTTATTCAGGTGGTTATTTCAAAAGTCACTTCCTAATTTTAAAAGGATAGCCTATTGAAAACCTGTAGCTCCAAATGTATTTAAGTTAATTATAAACTAAGTTCTTTGGTGCATGAAGACAAAACACAAACTAAAATTTCAATTCCAAGTAAAAGAATACAGAAAACATATATTCTAAGATACTCAAGCCATTTTACTCAGGTAATTAACAGTTGGGTCTATTCCTCCTTAATCTCCCTCTCTTCTCTCCCTGTCTCCTCTCTTCTACAGTATTACCTCATATGCTAAAAGGAAAGTCAAGGAGAAAAAATCCTGAATATATACCAATGTAAAAAAAACCTAGGAGAGAGGCTCATACATAGAACAGCAATGAGAGGAATTACATTTTATTGCTGCATTCATTCTTTGGATTGCTCAAAAAACATTCCTAATAGCACTAAAATATTTTATAAATAGATACAAAATTCCACATAAAACTGTTCTTAATTTATCAAACAATGTATACTTTTCAGTAGTGAATATACGCTTGAGTATATTTGTAAAATGTTTTAATTTTTATAACAAATGCATTGTTTCATTTGGAAATTTTACTGATATGAAGTGTATAATTTTAGGAGAGCACTTAACAAGTTGTTTTCTTAGTGAATTTCAATGTAATACATTTATTTTCTGTCCTTTACAAACATTATTAATTTAAAATATCAGAGTTATATATTTTATAAGTATCCATATATACCAAACTTATTTTAAGTAACAATTACTTAGAGAGTTGCTGATTGAAGCTGTAAACTCAGCTTTTACAACAAAATCACTAACATTTACTTGAGGGCCAGGGATTTAGCTCAGTGGCACCATGCCTGCCTCACAAGCGCAAGGTCCTGAGTTTGATCCCCGGTAGCAAAAAAAAACCAAAAAAAATTGACTTGATTTGTTCTATAACCATGGAAATAATTCTTTAGTTTTCCATCATTTAAATAAATTGCTTTACTAATAAATGCAAATGAATAATATTCCTATTTTTCATTGAGTAGGCTCCAATTATAATTACTTGATATCTTGTGTCAAGCATGGAATTGTATGTGTGTGTGTGTGTGTGTGTGTGTGTGTGTGTGAGAGAGAGAGAGAGAGAGAGGAAAGAGCAAGAAACACATGCAAAGCAGGAAAGAAAGAAATTAGAACATCTTTTCTTATTCTTTGGAAAGTCAATTTATGACATGATAGGATTCTCAAAAAAGTATGCTCATATCAAAAATTTCCACAATTCTACTGTTGTCATTCAGCTTCATCTCCCAGCTGTGTCCCATCAGAATCCATTAAACCAAAGCACCAAAAATATCACCAAACCAGGAGGCTGCTTCAGTCTGCATACCTCATACTTTGTTTTACTGCTTGTAATAATCTTGCCCATAACACCATACCATTTTACAGATAAGAAAATTCAGAGGCTCGGAAGTAAAGTTAACAAAGCCAGAATTTGATGCTAAGTAGCCCAGTTCTAAATACCAGTCCACTATTTATGCTGTTTCTTATGACAGCAACTGGTAGCTAGAACTTAAAACAATATTGTTATGTTCAAAGTAATTATATTTGATGTCTCTCCTTTTTTAAATTTTTATTTTATTGGAACACTTTAGGTATACAATATAATGACATTCATCATTGGAAATTTGCACCTTTACATAATCTCTCTTGGTTCTTATTTTTTCCCCCTTCCCCTGTCCTCCCTTCAACCCCTCCATCCCTCCCTATCTACAAAGACTTTGTTTCCATTTTTTCATTTTCTCATATTAATTCCATTCCCTTCTTTCCTTTCTCCTACCCCTTCCACTTCCCCTTCCCCTTTGCCCCTTTTCTTCCTATTTCACATTATCTATTATATCTTTTAGTAGAATGTAAACTTATCATTCTCCACTTTCAAGCACAAAAGAATCTACATTTAAATATCTTACCAGTTATCACTGTCATCAGAGAAACGAAGATTGTTGAAAAATGACACAGGTTTAGGTGATTTGAAACTGAGGTGGAAAGTGAGTTCTTTATTAATTCCATTCTTAGAGCCTATGATGATTTGGCCTTTTGAGAAGGTCACAGAAAGTGGGTGAATTTCTTTATCATCATTGAGAAGTCTTGCTGTGGGAATCTGGAAATTTATAGTTGAATTTCTGTTTAAAACAAACAAACAAAAAAGGTTTTAGCTTAAAATACCAGAAAGTAATGGAATTTAATGTATACTTTTTAATTTTTAAATCATTTATAGATTTAAAAACAAATATTTCCAAGAAATGCTCAATTATTAAACATATCTTTGTATCACCTTATTTTCTCTTCACAGTATAACACTGATAATATATTAATTTACCCAAAAACAGTTGAGTTGATTTAACATTTCTTTTATTCTGTAAGGATTAAAACATCTGAATAAATATAATGTGTTTTTAGTCATGACTAAGACATAAACATTGTTCTTAAAATATATTCTGACAAGAATTTACTAAAAATTATCACTTTAATAGTTACACATTTAGTGTATATACACTAAATGATATTAATGTACATACGGTACATGCACAAAATTTTTTAATTTGGATACTATTAAGCTTTTATCACACATTATTTTTAACCATTACTAATCAAAAAGCCACTTAATGTTCACATATTTCACTATATATCTAGAATTTATTTAGCCACTCTATAATGCTTGTGATTTTTTTATATTACATATTACAATGTAGTAATTCTTTTAATCAAATTATTACTTATAATTTTATTGATCAAAAAATATTGGACCATATCACTTCATTTTCTTTCATTATATGTGTAAGAACCTGTAAAAAATAAGAATCAAATGGGAATCATACTCTCCTATTATTTTAGTCAGAATGAATAATATTCAGCTAATTAATGAAAAAAGAGGAAGGAAAGATGTAAACTTGGATTAGTTAAACCTATACAGTACACTGTTACCCACATGGAAAAGTCATTTGTAAATCCAGTTTGTATGCAATTCAGTTGCTAATGATCTAAGTGTCCCTGGATAAGTTAACATATATATATATATATATATATATATATATATCAACAGACTGAGCTACATAAACTCTTCAACTCCTTTCATAACTTCATTTTATCATACCACATTATTCAAGACAGATTTTTGAGTTAAAGTAGTTTTAAAATTAGTATATTTATGCATTTACTAAAAAGTTGAAAGGTTCATATACTCGACAATGTTTCTTAATTTTAAACATACTTTCTCATGTAATATAATTCAAGCCACTGTTATATCCTAAGGAACACTGGTTATTGTCTGCTTATAAGATCAGATCTTAAAAGAATACAAATTCCAAAGTTATATTAATGTTGAAGAATTATGGTCCCTCACAAAATGAACTGCAGCTCAAGCAAGCCCCATGGCATAAGCAATCATCCATCTTATATTGTATATTATGTCCCAAGTGTTAGAAAGTTAAGTATGCACTATGCTCTTCAACCTGTACAACTTAATTTATCTCTGACCATTACATCACCATCAGGACTTGCTGTCCGGATCTGAGTCTTAACTATAAAGTGAAGACTGAGCTAACGTTTTGAAGTGGGTATACAGTCTAACAGACTACAAGATTAATGATTAATGCTTATAGGCAAATAATATCAATATCTAAATCCTCACAATCTATACTATTTTTTTTTGTTTTCTGGTACCAGGGATCGAACTCAGGACCTTGCACTTGAGAGGCAGGCGGCAGCACCAATGAGCTAAATCCCCAGCCCATAACCTATACAATTTTAACAGGTCAGCTAGCTTTTCGTTATATTTATAGATAGTTGTATATTTCTGAACAAAAATGCTTAAAAGTTTTTGGTCTATATAAAGGATAATCTGGATGTATCGGCATTCTTGCCCTTATACAATTTTTATCTCAATATTTTGTTTCTAAGATTGCTAACACCATTGTCTTACCAGTTGAAATTTATCTACACCATAACTGTAGAATATATATGTACTCACATATAGCAAATTATCTGTTCACCTGTCACAGAAATTAGGTCCAGCTCCCAGATGTTACTATTATGAAAAATACTACAACGAGTAATCCTAAACATAGCTTGGGGTAGAGATGAGAAAGAATTTTTTCCAGCTATATTATGAAGTGGAATAGTTGGTCTATGAAAGAGCGAACGTTACACTTCACAAAGTATTATCTGGTGTGACCATACTCATTCACACTGTGATTAATTTATGAGGCTTTTTAATTTTTCCTACCTAGGATAGGCATAATTATATGTTATTTCAAAATTTACAAAAAATCAAATATACATATATTTTTGGAATTCACTCTGTGGCTGGGGATGGTCTTGAACTCATGGTGATCCTCCTGCCTCAGCTTCCCCAGTGCTGGGATTACAGGTATGTGTCATCATGTCTGGCTATTTCATGTTTTACTGTTTATCTTCCATCTATGAATCCTCTTTGATGGAATATCTATTCATGATTTTTTTCTTAATATTTCCATTGCTTTATTTCTTAGATTTCTGATTAATTTTAATCAGTCATTTGTACTTTTTAGTCATGCATTTTTTGTGACCATGACTTTGTATCCCAATAAATCCTTTTCTACCCATTGAAATTTGAAACAGTTTTTGTATTTCATTTTACATTTTGCTATATATATATATATATATATATTTATCCCTTCATATCACTTGTAATGGATTCTGTGAAATAGTGATCAATTTTGAAATACTGTATTCCAGTAAAATAGTCCATTGACCTACATTTTTTACTGAACAGTAACCTATTTTCTCTAAAGATATGCAATACCACCTGGATTACAGATCTAGTATTCATTCACGTATGGGGCTTTTTCATGACTCCGTATTCTATTCCTTTGGTCATAACATCTATTTTTGCACTACTATCACAATGGTTCAATCCTGGTATTTGCTAAGGTTTATTTTTCTTCCTCAGACACAGTGTGGCTATTCAAGACTCAACTCTTCCAAATAAAATTTTGTACTTTGCCTGTCAATTTAAATGAAAAGCTTTATTTGATACTTACTGAAGTTTTAATAAAATATTCAAATATATTTCTTGAAAATGTTTTTAAAGTTATTTGAGGTTTTGTTCATTGCTATACTATTTGGGTAGTGTGGTATACTCTTAATATTTATGGTGCTTGTAAAATTTTACCATATGAGCTATTTTAAAATTTCTAAAAGTTATATTTGACTTCTCGCAAATATATTATTTCATAATTCCACATTAGTTACCAATTTTTGTATTTTTATATTTTATGTAAAAATAAATTTATTTACACTCTGTGTTATATATTTATAATATCTAAATTATTTATAAGAGTCTAAATTTCATGATAGCTGTTTCTCCTGACTCTTAGTTATGGTTTCTTTAATACTGGGAATTTGGGCATTTTATAAATCTAAAGAGCTGAAAACAGACGGAATAAGATCGGAACCTTTAAATAGGATGGGATATCACTTTTGTAATTAAGTTTCATTATGGCAATGGTAAAGGTACATTCTAGATGTAATTAAGTTTCCTAATAAAATTGACTTTGGGTATAGCAAAAAGGAGACTATTATGGGTGTGTCTGACTTACTCAAGTGAGATCTTAAAGAAATTTTAGAGGTCAGGGACAGAGAACACTTGTAGATGATATACTTTGAACCCTGAATGATATAAAATACTATGTTGTGAGGATATAACTACATAGGTAGGACTTCAGAGTGAGCTGAGATCGTCCCTAGCCAAAAGTGATGTCTCAGTCATATAAAGAAAAGGAAATTAATTATTTCAACAACCCAAGATGTGGAAGGATGATTATGACTTAGATTAGACTGATGCTGGAGCCACCACCTTGATTTCTGCCTGTAGAGACACTGAACAAAAGGTGAAGCTAAGATAACTGGGACTCTGAACTTACAGAAACTTCAAGATAATAAATTCATACTATGTGAGATATCAAATGTATATTTTAAGGCAATAAATCGGTGATAATTTGTCATATGACAATTGAAAACTAATACACTTTATAAATTTAAGCTTGTTTCTTATTCCACAGAGAAACACACCAACATTTTCTTTTTAAAAATATAAGGACTAACTATAGATAACTAAGAGAGCTTTTCATATATTTTTAAAATTTCAGGGTATAATTATATACTTCTGCAGTCTTTAATATGATAGAAACAACCCAGCCACTACATATAAATCTCATATAACACAAACACAAACAAAATAGCACATAAAGAAGATGTGGCAAAGTCACATTTAATATTTACCTGAAATAATTTTGGGGTAAAAGTTTGATATCCATCCCAGTTGTTACATCCAAAGGGACAGGAGTGAAAAATATAAATGGTGGATCAAACATTATCTTTGGTGATTTTATCTCTCCAGTCAGACATAACATTCTATAGCAAGCTGAATTATCCTTTAAATACATGGGAACATCAACTGTGTATTTTATAGGCTTACCTAATGAAAATGTTTTTAAAATTATTAGTTTAAACACACAAACACATTCATATAAGCTAAGCCTTATTAAAAAATTTAAATGTACTATGATGTTGCACCTCAGTAGAACAGAATAGATTACTCAGAGTCTGGATTTTATTCTGCTGCAGAATTTAAGACCTAAGGAGGTTTCATTGAAAGAAAAATATTTTAAAATATACCTTATCTGAAAATGGAGCATGTATCGTTTAAGTAGATTTTTACTAACTGGGGGAAATACATACGCATTAAGGGAATAGTACAAAAGGGCTTCTTTTAAAAAACTGTTTTATGTGCTTTAATAAAGGCTGCTCATTCCTTTAGTATATGCAGCATGAAGATGACATCATACAATTGCCATAAAGATTCTACTGAGAAAGAGATGTGCTGACATGAAAGGAATGTGACTTCTTCCAGAGTTTTAGATTAGGAAAGGCTGCCAGGGATGACTGACCAATTTCATTTGTTTAGAAAAGAAAAGCAATTCATTAGTAGTTTAATATGAAGAAAGGCATATTGTGTTAGAGAGCAGAGTTCAACGCAGAAAGCTGCAGGTTAGTTCCTAAGAACAGATCCTGTCACAGAAAGTGGCATTAACATCAAAAATATCTATACCATTTGAAACGATCTACAGATTCATTGCAATTTCTATCAAATTTCCAATGGCATTTTTCAAAGAAATAGAAAAAAATCCTGACGTTCATAGGGAACCAAAAAAGACCTCAAACAGCCACATCCATATTTGCAAAGGACAAAGTTGGAGGAATCATACTTCCCAATTTCAAACTGTATTAGAAAATTATTATAGTCAAAATAGTATTCTATTATAAAAACAGCAGTTAAAGCAATGGTACAAAAATACACCCATACAATTAGTCAACTAATTCTTGACTAGGAAACCAAGAATATGCAGTGGGGGAAAGGAAATGCTCCTCAAGAATAGTGATGAGCAAAACTGAATATCCATATACAAAATAATTAAATTTAACCCCTTTCTTATACAATATACAAGAAATTACTTTGAATGGGCAAGATGTTAATATAAGGTCTTAGCTCTTAAAACTTACAGAAGAAGATGTAGAAGAAAACATCTTTGACATTGCCATGGCAATAATTTTGGGATATAACAACAAAAGCACAGACAACATAAGTAAATATAAAAAAAGTAGGACTGCATCGAAAAGTTTGTACATAGCAAGAAAGCAATCAGAAAATTGATAAGGAAACCCATGAATTGAAATAAAATATTGCAAATGGTATATCTCATAAGGAGTTCATATCCAAAATGTAAACATCAATAACAAACTCAATAACAAAACAAAAAACAACAAAACAAACCAACAAAAAACACAACCTTGATTTAAAAATAGGCAAAGGACCTGAAGAAGAGAAAGTTTCCCCCAAAACACATACAAATGGCCAACAGGGATAAAAATGCTCTCAACATCACTATTCACTAGAAAAAAACCCATGTAAATGAAAACTAAAATGAGATAATATTTCATACTGGTTAGGATGAATCTTATCAAAGAGTTGAGAGATAACAAGTACAAAAGGTGGAGAAAAGAGACCCTATGCATACTCTTCGGGGGAATGGAAATTGATAGAGTGACTATAGCAGACATTATGGAGGTTCATCTCCAAATCAAAAATAAAACCATCATAAGATCAGTAATTCTACTTCTGTGTATGTATCCAAAGGAAATGAATATTTTGAAGAGAAATATGCACTCATATTCACTACAGTACTATGTGCAATTGTTACATTATGGAAATAACATAAGTGTCTATCAACAGACAAATGAATAATGAAAATACGGTACATGTGTACATGATGGAATATTATTCAGTCTTAAGGAAATCTTGTCAGTTGGAACAAAATGTTTGAACCTTCATAACTTTGTTCTAATTAAATAAGTCAGCCACAAAAAGACAAACAGTGCATATGTAACAGAATTAGGAGCTAAAAAGTCGAACTCTTAGAAGCAGAAAGGAAGGCATGATGTGTCAGGAACAGGTGAGTAGATGAAATGAAGAGATTTTGATCAAATAATGTACACAAATTTTCTGCTACATAAAATATTCTGGGGAGCTAATGTATAGGATGAGTGATAGGGCTGGGAATTTAGCTCAGTGGCACCACGCCAGCCTTGCAAGTGCAAGGTCCTGAGTTTGATCCCTATAGCAAAAAAAAAAAAAAAAGCATGAGTGATGATGGAAATACTAATTAATCTGATTATGGTAATAATGATAACATATATGTATTAAATCATGTACACCTTGCATATAAAAAAATGACATCAACAAGATTACATTATTTATAGTTATTCAAATAAAAATCATGTAAATTTTTGTATACATGATGAAATAATTCACTTTATGAATAAATTGAAATTATAACTACAAATATAGGAAAATACTTACGTGGACAGAAATTTATGGAAACAGTACACTTTTCACGTGAGCACAAAATTCCAGTCAGTGCACTAAACTTGAATATGCCATTTTTAAAAAGTTTACCAGTGTTACTAAGATCAAAAATCCATTGAATCTCTTGTTCTGTAATATTATGTATTACAAGATCCTGTTTAAAACAAAAAAAGAAAATAATATGCAGTATGTATTACCATACCATTGTAATTGGCCTATGCAAAACTCAAATGATTAAAAATGTAATTATAGATACAGAGTTTTCAAAGTGATGTTAGACAAAAGGGTATGAAACTATGTTCAGAAAATATTAGCAACTATGAGAAATACACAAATGAGAAATACACAAAAGGTAAAGACTGAATAAATTAAAAATATAGCTATGGTAGCTAACAAGAATGCAAAAAATTCTCATTCATTATTGGTAAGAATACAAAATGATACAGTCAGTTTAGAAGAAAGCTGAGCATTTTCTTAATTAAATATCATACATAATATAACATCATTATACACACATACATCGTAACATGTGTTAATCATATATCTATCATATAATTCTGCAATCTAATCTTAAATATTTAATCTTAAATATTTACTTAAATATCTACTTATTTACTTAAATATTTAATAAGTGTAATAATAATATCTTACTTAAATATTTACTTAATTGATCTTAAATATTTAATTAACAGTAAAAAACTTATGTTTACACAAAAACCTTTATGGGAATCTTCATAATTGTTTTATTTACAATCATTAAATACTGGGAGAAACACAGAATAAGTTTTCCTTCAGCTACTGATGGATACGTGAACTGTAATGGAATAAAATTTACTAATAAAATAAGTCAAGTATTAATATATAATTGGGTATATTATAAAATTAAAAGATTTCAGATACAAATAACTACAGAATTAAATTTACCTGTGTTTGTAGAAATGCAAAAATTTTAAGGTTGAAAAAATAGCAGTTGCCTCGAATTAATGCAACATGTTTGACCACAAAAGGGTCACAGAGGGATTTTTTTTAGTATGATAAAACTGTTCTGCATGCGCCAAAGTGACAGATACATTATTCTATGTAGTTTTCAAAACTCAGAGATCTATATCCTGCAAAACTGATCTTTAATTTATGTGAATCAAATGCAATCAATGAAGATGTTGCAGATCCTAAGATAGATTGCAGACTGTAACACACTGCATCACGAATGTATAATTTACAGGGATGTGGGGGAAGAACTGACCTAAGAAATTTTGGAAAAAAAATTTCTTTTTTTTTTTTGGTTTTTTGAGGCAGGGTCTCACTATGTAGGTCAGGCTGGCCTTGATTTCACTATGTCGCTCGGGCTGGCCTCAAACTCAAGGCAATACTCCTGCTTCAGTCTCTCAAGTGCTAGGATTACAGGCGTGTGCCACAACTCCTGGCTTGGAAAATTGTCTTTTAACTGAAAATTATAAAGCTAAAATAAAAAAGAACTACAAATATAAACACAGTACTCTATAGTAAATGTGTTAGTAATTCTAATGTGTTACAGGTTACCAATTCTGACACTTCTTTATTTTTACACCAGAATAAAATATAAGTAATCATATTATAGTCAGAGGCAGATTTCTGATTATGAAAGAGAGGAATTAAAAAATCAACAAGGGAGAAAGGAATGAACCTTTCAGTGCTGAATCAGATGTCAGTTTGAACTGACATTTACTTAAACACAGAAAACGAGACAGGGTGGGGGAGAGAGGGGGCGGGGAGAATGTGCATACATGGCTTAGTATACATATAAATTTTTCCTGGCTCTATTTGCTGAAAGAGTCTAGTCTCCTTGACATCCCAAAAGCAACTAGCAAATCATATCTTGATTTCTAAATATCACTCTATTATAAAAGAAACTGCAATTTCTTAGGGAAACTCATGTTTCCAGAATCAGAGCCACTAAAATATAACATTAAATTATAATCTTATAAAATGAAAATTTGATAGTGTTGTAAATAAGAATGTAGAAATTACAATGTGGGAGCATATAAAAAGGGAATCTAAAATGCCCCTAAATTGTCAAAGCTAAAATAATTTAGTAACAAAAAATAACGTAATATTAGACTATAACAATGTATAAAATAAATTTTATATGTGAGTTCACATTGAAATCTTAGGCAATAAAATAAACAGGGAAAAGGAATAATCTTTCTTACAGAAAAATTCCAAGTAATATATGCTAGTAAATATCACTTCTATAAGCCTCCATTCCTTGAGTGTGCATAAAAATTGATCACTCATTTTCAAAGTGCAGAGTACAGAAAGGGAAAAATAGTAACTTTACAGGGAAGAAACCCAGCAGATCTAATTGATGAGTCATTTTGCTATCATTTACTTTCTTCATGTGATGTAATAAAAAGGACATTTCACCTTTGCGACATTTTCCCCCAAAATACAAGGAAAATAAGAACTTACTGTACTCGGGTGGAAAGTATGAAAAACAACTCATGGAATGTTCTGGAAAAAAATGCCAGAAAGAAACTTTAAAACTGTCAAGGTCATAAAGTATTAAGAAGATTTAGAGTCTGTCATTTATCAGAGAAGACTAAATAAATGGAATTTGGTGTCCTGTATTGGACCCTGAGAATTTGAAAGAACAGGGCCGGGATTTAGCTCAGTGGTGCAACCGTTTGCCTCACCAGCACAGGGTCCAGAGTTCAATCCCCAGTACCAAAAAAAAAAAAAAGAAAGAAATTGAAAGAACACTAGTGAAAAACATATAAAGCTTACTGTTTAGCTAATACTATTGTGCCAATATTAATTTATAAGTTTGAAAATGGTTCTATCGTTGCATATAGTGTTAACAGAGAAATTTAAGGGAAAAGTGTATAGAAACTCACTATACTGTCTTTGTAAAGTTTTATTATTTTTACATATATTATTTTAATATAAGCATTTATGAGTATAATTTTCTAAGTATTTCTTTCACAGTAGCCCTCACATTTTGATATATTGTCAAGACACAACCC